TACTCAGTAAATTATTATTTAATAAATTATATAAGTAGTTATTCATATAATGGCGTTAGGTAACATATCATTCAGTTCAACGCATTGTTTTAGGATTAGACTTTAAAGTTCTCTATAATTCCAGTATTAAATAGAAGTTTACAATCTAATACTCGAAGCAGACAACAACTTCTGGATTTCTACTAATATCATGAAATTCTATCGAAGCATATCTAAAGTGGACTTATAGTTCTCGAGATAATTTTTATGCTTCTAAAGTACAAAATGCGCGAATACAAAAACATCCTTGAAGTTTGGAGCATAACAGCAACAGAATTTGGACAACGTAGATTAACCTTTTGCACTCGGATGCCGCCTATACGACAGTATCGTATACAGGGTAAAGCACGCAACGTGGACTGCTTAATTTATTCTGTTGCTAGTGGTTCGATTGGAAACTTTTTGTGCTAAGAGGAGAGCAGCAAAGATGATTGTACCAAATTTGTTGTTACTATCCCACCTTTTTTCCCCCCGGAGTTGTCAAGGTCACCTCCAGTCTTTTATAGGTTGACCTACAATCTTTTCGTATCCATCGTTTAGGGTACGCCGAGACGAATTGGTCAAGCATCATAACATATAGATTATTCAGAATCTAAACAAAAAAGAATTGTAGGCTTACCTATAAGATATACCTTAATAACTGCGGAAAGAAAGGGTTGATAAAAAAGATTGCTACAGTCATCTTAAAGCTCTACTTAAACCATGTTATTTTCACTCGAAAAGTTTCTAATTGAACCACCGGCAACAGAATAAATTAAGCTGATCACGTTGCATGGTCCACCCTGTACTCGTGTCAATACTGTAAAGAAATCATGTAAAATACATAAATAGAAACGCAAACTCTTTTATCTATTAATTCCTACAAGATATCACGTCAGTATAATGATTTTTATTTCGATTAGACTCTGTATAGAAAAATCACAATTTTTACAACATTTATCAGAATAATCTTCCAAATGCTATGAAATGTCGTGGTGAAATGAACAATTTTCGTAGAACAATTCAACCTAAAAGTGGGAATTCGTATAAATGTCGTCGCATTTCACATTGCTAATTCTATCGATCAATGTTTAAAGTAAGGGCACTCGCAGAATGCACACGTGACGAGAACGTTTAATTTTTCGATACCTCACGACTTATTGTTAGTTTATATTCGAGATAATACGCGTCAATTTAGCAAATGGGTATCGTCGAAGTCACCGTTCGATCGATAACGTTCCGAGAACGAATTCAGTATTCCGTGTATCTTAATCGTGATTTTTTATGTTAACATGTGACTCTACTTCGTGTCTTATCTGGATAATTGCTTTCGAGACACCTGGCGTTGAACGTGACGCTTGCAATACGCTCCGTTCATCCAGAAACATCACGTTTTATTTTCATTTTATCCTATACTTGTTCATCTTACTTTGTTCTATTTGCTGTGACCTAGTCACGAACTCTAGAGAACCATTTTATCCTATTAGTTTTTTATCGTAACAGTTTTACCGTATACAGTAGTTTCGACCAGAAATGTTCGGAGGTCGGAATTGAAAAACCGGCAGATCCGAGAATACTAAGTCGCGATTCTTCGGGCCTCGCGGCTCATTTTTATAGAAACTCGGGGCGGTCGGCATAAAAGGGCAGCGGCCAACATGTCCATTATTTATTAATATATATACATTAATGTGAATACATAATAATGCTAGATTAAAAACGATGTCTTGACTTTTTTATTTCTAACTTTTTACCACGATTCGAAGGCAATTTGGAGACCCAAACTGAGCATTTTGTGTTGCCTTCTGGGAACACGCTTTTGGCCGACTCCGTCGACTCTTAGCATCGACGAAGCAATAAATTGCATAGGCGTAGAACTAGCACAGGGAAATTCACAGCAACCCGAAATTTGTATTTACTTTATTCTTGTTTTGCTATCATTATTCCTTCTTATTTTTATTTTGTTTCATCACAGTTTGAGAGATAACGTTAGCTACGATCTATTACGTATCTTTATTTCATTTTTATTTACGAGATAGTCACGATTATTATATTTTTATTCTATTCTTGCTTCACGAATCGATCATTATTTTACGAGTGACAAACCATATTTGTGTACAGACATCCTTAATGTTGTTAGCCCTTCCCATAAACGTAGCATAGACGTTAATGAAACATCTCCAAGGGTGAAAACAGCGTGTCTGGCGCCATGCGACTTATCCCCTGCCCGAGGATAGTGGGTAGTACAGAGGGTTTTAAATAGATACGCCGTGCAAGGCGCAGGTGAATCAATGAGAAAGGAGGTTTAGTTATTGTACCTATTTTTGATTCATTAACGAAGCACAGAATTGCATATACTCTATGTCGCGTTATTGCACGTTTATTTTTTAACCAGTTACCTGTGTTCGACGAGTATACTCGTCACGAAGACGTGACAGTATTTTGTGTCACGACGAGTATACTCGTCGCGCGTAAGAAATAGTGACCATTGGCTATTTAAATTGTAATTTTAGCGAAAACAAGAACATATTCTCAAATCTCAAGATGTTTCGAATATTTTGAAATCAGGCCAGAAAGTATTCGTGCATTTTTCGTTTATTATGTATGTAGTGTACATGAATGCTAAGCGAATAAGTAAACATTAGTAATAAAATTGTTAATTTTATAAAATCAAACCGTCTTTTCGATCCAATATTTTAACAGCGACACTTATTCCGTGTTTGACGAGTATACTCGTCATCGCTTGATCCTCGCTACACATATGTATAGGTGCTAACCAGCTAACTGGTTAAAATAAACGGTTTTCTCTCGAAGTTGCAAACGCATTTAAGCCTCGGCGGAAAATTGTTATCGACGTACAATCGACCCCGTAGGCGGCAAATAACTCGTAAGTAATTTACAGCTCGGGTTCCACGAGGTTCGTTAACTTTGCCTTCACGGCCGCCGCCCTCGTGTCGATGACTAAAAAGCGTTTAATTAAAGCGTTTCCCTGTAACAAATGATGCAACGAATGACGTAACGACGAACAAAAGAAACAATGCAGAGCGCATGTACATGTAGGTGCCATTGCAATTAGCCCGAGCGAAGAGAAAAATAACGTTTGACGATGATCGCGATTCGCAGAAAAGTACAACTGCGAAAGAAACGCTCGTTCCTGGATGATGTTGTTGTTGTTCTTATTGAAAAATGGAACCGTGACCAGGTTATTTATGGAGCACTCGCGATCTAAGATGACGCGAAGAAAGTCATCCGCGCGAGAGATGTACATATGTACATTCAAATTACTACCTTCCCGATCATTTGCTTAGGATGCGTCAGAATGACGTAATGCAACATACACATAATGAACACACCCAAGATAGCGTTGGCGTTTAAATGATTCCGGAGCGAATGCCAACTAGTTAACTATAGACAGTGGTATTAACATGCTCGCTACCAGCGTTCGATTCGGCAACAGTCTTTTTTACATACGGTGACTCTTGTTGATATCCGGACACCTTTTTAAACGCAATAACTTCTTTCGAATTCGGCCGAAAGAATTAAATTCTGTTTTAGATGTTCGACCGGACACATTGCCGGACAATGTGCAAAAAATTCCAATTGTTCGGAACGACAGGAGAAGTAAAAAATGAAAAATTTTATCCGAGTCAATGACGACCAATTTAAAGAATGCGTTTTATAATCGATTAACGTCATCACGAACTGTAAACAATTAAAGATACGGAGTAATCGCAATGCCTGTGGATTGCCTCTACGTCGACGGCGTCAGTAATAAGAGACACCGTGTATAATACTCTGTTAAGTGGAACGTATCCTCTTACGAGATGTGGCACAAATGTTATTTAAAAAAAGTCGTGAATTCCCTGAAGATCATGCTACATGTTGGAATGATCATCGACAATGGATCATTTGATATCTTCATCGATTCGAACTGGTTCGTTTTAATCAACAATCTAATGACATCTGTTATAACAGGTTCCGATATCGCATAACTATAACACATGTATATAGCGTTTGTATGCGTTAATCTCGGAAATTTTCGAGCATTATCTGCCCGAAACCTTCTACTGCCTTTATGCCAGGATTCAAAAGCTTTCTCATATATTCGCCCGATTTGAGCTACATATAATTAATTGCTAATTATTTATAAATAATTAACCCTTTACACTCGACTGATGACTCCGACCCACCACTTAAAATTGTTATATAACATTTCAAAATAATTTTAACGTTATCAAATTTGTTTGTACTTTAAAAACTGTTGAAAAGTGCATAAAAGTCAATTTCATATATGTATATATAAAATGCACTTACAAAATGGAAATAGTGTAAGTTAGAAAAACTATTTTGAATTCAGAGTTAAAATAGCTTCGAGTGCGAACGATTAATATTATATGATATGGAATTTATACGGAAACCGTAGTTAATGCATGCGATATCGAGTAAATTCTCCCCAAAATTTTCCATCAGCTTGTAAACAAAAAATGGACAATTTAGGAAGAGGAGTTACGATTACTCGAGCCTTGCGCCTCGTTCTTATAATTGTTGACAATAGGCAACTATAAAAATGAGCCGCGAGGCTCGGATAATCGTGTCTCCTCTTTCCAAATTGCCAATTTTTGTTTGCAAGCTGAAGGAAAATTGGGGGGAACTTACTGTACTTTTACATATACTTTTAGGAAGGTTCGTTGTAGAACACACAATATATGCAAAATCAATACTGTTTGTTAGTCCTATTATTTTAATCATTCTAAAGATCGTACGAAAAATGGTATAGCAATATTTTGAATGTTATTAAAACGAAATGGTAAACGGATTGGCTAATTTGATCCGCAATTCTTAGGGTTCTATTATGATAGTTTTACTGTAATGACACGAAGGGACACTAGATCGATGAATATATGTGTCTTCGACCGAGCAATTTTGTCGTTTGACGCTGGATTTCATTTCCAACGATAGAGTCTTTAATTAGAATTTATTGTTTGGAATTTATAGTTCACGGCCGAATCGGTCTTTCCGGTGCTAGCATCTATTTGTCACAACTTCTTTCGAGTTCATATGCAATAATCGACTGGCAACTATAAAAATGGATGATCGTTAGACTGCGGAACTTTATGCAAACGAGCAATTTTATGCACCATTTTATGCAAAGAGCAAGTCATCTGTGAATTTCTAACATTCTTGAACCAAGTTAGCTGTGGCGTCTCCTTTTCAGAGGACGCACCTATATGTGCCATGAGAATCGAGCAACGACGAGTATACTCGTCAAACACACACTCGCTGTTAAAATATTGGATCAAACAGACGGTTTGATTTTATAAAATTAACAATTTTATTGCTAATATTTACTTATTCGATTTATTAACATTACATTAGCATTAACATATACTATATACATAATAAACGAAAAACGCAGGAAAAATCGAATATTTATAAAAGTTCAAGGTTCAAATTGCTGCTGTAGAGTGGTATTCAGCAAAGCAAGGAACGATACATAATGACACTTTGCACGTCGAACACCAATATCATGAATTATTCGTATAATTATATATATTTTTAATTTTTTTGTTTTATTCTGGCCTGGCCTAAAAATATTCGAAACATCTTGAAATTTGAAAATATATTTTTATTTTCGCTAAAATTATAATTTAAATAGCTAATGGTCACTACTTTTTACGCGCCGACGAGTATGCTTGTCGTGACACAAAATACTGCCACTTCTCCATGACTTCTCCATACTCGTCAGACACAGCTATGTATTTTGTTAATAACTGTAACAAGTTAAAAAAGCTATACACACACAATTGTCGGTCAGCTTGTAAACAAGAATGGACAATTTGGAAAGAGGTGACACGATTATTGATTATGGCGCGATATTAGACACTTAATCGCCGATTGTCAACAACTATAAAAACGAGCCGCGAGGCTCGATTAATCGTATCTCCTCTTCCCAAATTGTCCATTTTTGAGGGACAATCGAAAAGAATTTACTGCATCGGCATTCTTCATTTATTGAAATTTTGCTTCTGTTTCAAATTGCGCTTACTTATTTCCGTGACAAATGCATAAAGTTCGCAATCAAACAATCATAAACCTTAATTCCAAACATCGATTATGCCACGTACAAAGCGTGAATATTTCTCTTGATTTTCTATTTTGTATGAAGCGTCGTTGCATTCGGTTAAACGCGCTGTACATTTGATAATAATATTCGCTAATATGTTATATGATATCGCTATAACGAACAAGATTGTATAGAATGAATTACCCTGCTGTAGCTAAAATAACCCTGACCTAAACTGTTTTCTAAGAATTGATCTTAATAGTAACGCGTTTATACGAAATGCAAGCTATATAACGAAATTGTTGCGCCAGTGCACGAAAACAAACGTTCAAAAAACAAAATGACGATCGACGAATCCATTAAGCGCCAAACCCGGATTACATAGAATGTTCCCGCATTTCCATGAATGTAGTAAAATCAAGATTATTCATTAGTTCGCAAACAATTGGAAACGAACAATATACCCATTCATACGGTTCATTTATCACAGTTGAAACGTATCTGCTCGTCTATGACCGATATTACGTCATTTCGGCAACAAGGTAGTCTAAGTCTGAGAACATGTAACATGTCTCACGTCTATCTTATACATATGAAACGATGAATCATAAGAGTATGCGCGCATACGCGCGTATAACTCCATACGTATACGTGTACCACGTATGCGGATACCGCACACGCGGTATCCTGCGCGTCATCGCAAAATGTGACCGAGTTGCGTTAATTCAATTTCCTGGGATTTTCGGGTGTTTTTAGTATTTCGCGTTATGTAATTTTACTATACGTGCGAGTAATAATGTGATTTACGACGAAACGCTTCACATTTATTTACGAATCTTTGGGCAATAAGTGTGTTTATTTTTAAAACGGATTTATCGTTTTACGAAGTGAAAGGCTTTTAGTGATCGATTAATATTATTGATTTTATTGATTAAAAAATAGCGATGCTGAGGTCTGAATTATTTTTCGTGAAACAGTAAAGGGTAAGTATTTTTAAAGAATTCGGAAACGAATATTCAATCGAATGTCTGATTATCGCGATTATCTTATAATTCGACTGCGAATCTTCGTGCACTGAGCAAAAATTCCATGATGCAAAGTTTGACAACACGTAATATGATTTTTATTTATTTTCTTTTTGTCCATAAGTAATATTACTTTTAGTAATCACGTTCTATCTAGTTTCAGTTTCTTGAGACGAGTTTACGATAATGGAAAATCGCAGAAGCATTCGCAGTCTACTTATAATACTTGAAATAAACATTTATCGATTATTATTATTATTACGTCATTCTAATGTTATTTATTTAACATATTGCTGAGAAATCAGCAAGTCCTTTCCATACTACGAAGGTTCAAATTGCATTCTGATGAGAATTAATGTTATTATTACATCGAGTAATAAATATAATAAATATAATTAAACAATAAATATAATAAATACAATAAATAAAAATAAATAACAAATTTACTGTTATCAAAATGCAGTATATTGAGATACTAAATCATATCGGAATTCAATCGCATTAGTTCAATTGCAAAGCGTTAATGTTAGCGTGACAATTCAAGAGGCCTTGGTCAACGAGTCTGATCATCAATTACATTTTCTACTTATTATGCGCAGGAGTGTAACAAAATAAATCACACAGCACTGACTTCACAGATGGATGGAGCTTGGCATGACACATATAATTATGTTTCCTGTACACTTTTGTATGTGTATGATTTACTGCTTCTCTAGCCGCGTTACTAGTTCATTAGCATCTTTTATACATTTAGGGCGTACGCGTGAACATTAAGTATTCTTTTATCGCAAAGCATGTTTGTCGGAGCAACCGCAGCTGAGAAAAGATCTCGCAAGACATAAAGAAAAACTCATTCAAGAGCAGGATGAATCGAAGTGCATCAATGAATCCCCATGAAGAGTAGGTTCGTTCAAGGCTAAATCGATCTCCGTCGTGCTGGAAAAACATTAAGTACTAGTTGCCGCCTGTTTTTCCGCCTGCATTTTTTCAAGATTACGACCGTCTCACGTTCTAGGGTCCAATCTTTTTATATTCAGTACATATTTTAACAATCTATTTAAATATTTGTCTATCACGTCATAACCGTGATATGTACGAACGGGTCCTTGGAG